TACTGGCTAATATTTGTCGGTCAAAACACAAGATACTGTGAAGCCATACCATTATGGTCCAAAAATATTTTAGATGTGAAAACTGCTTTGACAATATTCGTTGACAAATACCATCCAAAAAATGACATCTGACTGTGAAAGTTCTTTCAAATCAGATGATGTAAAAAACTATCTGCGTTCAAAAAATGTAAACCAATATTTCATTGTCGACCAAAACCATTCTGCTCTTGGTGTCATTGACGGTTGTATAAAAATGTTAAGAGACTTAAACCAACCACAAGGTGGTGAAGCAAATGAAATGTCATATGACGACAAATATAGACACTTCTCCATGGCAAAGATGAGACAAGTTTTAAATATTTACAATAGCCGTAAACAAAAAGGTTTGGGAAACCACTCCCCCGAAGAAATGAAAAAACAACCCTGACTTAGAGAAAGACTATATATTTAATAATTTAGTCAAAAGAGACAAACAAGAAAGAATGCCGGGCTTCAAACTTCAGAAAGGTGACAAAGTAAAAATAGAAATACCTAAACGCGACCCATATGAAAATACTATTGACTATGACAACAATGGGAACCCGACAGGTACTCACATTCGTGTTCGTAAAAATAGAAGAAAGTATACAAGAGAATATTATGAAGTTTTAGGCAAACATGGCAAAATGTACACACTGCAAGCAGAAGATAAAACTACTATTGTCAGACCTCGTTTCAAACTTGTCAAAGTTCAAGGTGGTATACTTTCAAAGACAGTTCCTAACAAATATAAGACAACTCCTGACGAATATGCTAAAGAAGTTGAAAATGACGACTAAGCATTTCTATACCATGCGTAAACTGTCATGTAAGGTGGCATGTATTCTTTACTTTGTCCCGTTGTTTGCGTATATCCTGAAACGCGATGTGTATGGTCTCCTTCTCCCCAAGTGTCATCCCAGTAACCATTTATAGCAAACTTAACGTCGTCTTTAACATCATATCCTTTACCTTTTGTCATTGCTGACCAACCCCAATATTTATGCCTATGCAAACCTGCTTGAGATGTACTTAAATCTATGTAGTGACTGTGTGCAGGTAAATTTTCACCTGAAATCGTTTTACTTCCACCTGTTTCCTTTGAAGAGTTTGCACAATACAAAAACCTGTCGACTATTTGAGTCCAAGTTCCAAAACCAAGTACTACTTCTGGTCTGGTAGAGTTCATTGACGTATAAATAGAGCCTATAGGATATAATGTTTGAAGTATTTCTGTCTTTAATGTTTGAAGCTCTGTTTTGTCTGCTTTCTTGTCATATAAATCTTGAGCAGTGAATTTAATATTATGTTCATCCTTCATGACATAAACATCTTTACATCTAATGTTTCTCATCGTCGTTATGTCGTCATCCGATGTTAAACCTTGTGGAAAGTTAGGAGGTTTACAATATAATGCATCCCCACCAGTTTCTTCAACCGTTCCTTCAATACTTTCTATAGCAACAGTTGTAAAACTTGTATGTGTATGAGTCTTGTCTGCTTTCTTCTCTAACTCATCGTTAACATAAGTTTTATCTGCTTTAAGGTCTAAACATCCTGAAACCCATCCTGTATCAGCTTTAGTTTTTAAAATCTTCGATGTCCATTCATGATACCATTCAGCCCTTTCTATAATTTCATTATCTTTTTCATCCACATATTCCTTATCTGCTTTCTTCTCTAATTTACTAGCCACACATTCCTTATCCGCTTTCTTTTCAAGGCTAACGTTTAAGTCTGTTATTTCAGATATAGAATGTGTATGAGTCTTTTTAGAATATTCGTTTTCAGCTCTCGTCACTTCACTTGACATTTTATTGTCAACATATGTTTTGTCTGCTAGTTCAGGATGAGTATGTTCTTTTGTTGCATAAGCATTGTTAGCTCTTTCTTCTTCTTTTGCTATTGCATCGTCTACATATTCTTTGTCAGCTTTGTTGTCAACATCTGCTTTCAAAAGAAGTTCATTTATAGTTTCTCGTTTAAAGTTCCTTTTGTTGGATTTATACAGACAGTATTGTTCTTCTTGTCTTGAAATAGAAACTCATCTGTCATTGGGTTTAATGTCAGTTTTAAGTTTCCTTCTTTCAATGACTCAGATATCTTAGAATAGTTTGAAAAGTTTGTTGTGTTCTTATTTAGAGCTTGCATAATGAGTTGTCGGTTGTGTTGTATTTCTCTCATGGAAGCAATATCTTTCGACATTTTTATTCTAGATAAAATATGCTTCCAATAGAAAAAGAAAATTCAAGAGTTGCTACAACTAAACCATTAGATGAACTTTTTACTAATGTCGTCAAAAGTTTGAGACAGAGACCGTAAAGCATGAAGGCTATCGTTTTGACTCCCCATTAAGATGGCTAAGAGACCCATCTGTCACAAAAGCTATTGGCTTTCGTAGAATGAAGTTCATTTCAGAAGCCATACATGGTTTCCCATTTACGGTCGTTTTGAAGTTCGATACTATAACAAAGAAAAACGTATGTATGAGAAATTTGAACAGGGAAAACTTTTACAAGTTAGTTTGCTTGTAAACTTAGAAACAACTCTTCAAGCTTTTCAAGAAAAAATAAACGATATCTATATCGAATATGCAAAACAGTATAACATTGACGAGGGAGAATACCATCTCGATATTATTTATGACAGGAAAAATGCAACTGTTAAAATCAATAGAATAGAAGACCTTGGAGAAAACGTTTATATTTCTACAAAATATAACAACTTGGCATGGTATAGATTTATGAGGATGTTAAATCAGCCTGCAGCATATCCAGTACACCCAGACTTTTATGAAGTCGAAAACCCTAATGGAACATATGAAAATGTTTTCGACCCAGCTGCTATTATTGTTCATGCTTCATTTTCTGGCGCCCAAAACTCTTTCTTATGCTTGGCAAATGACTTTTACGAAAAACCTACAAAGTTATACGAACCACCAAGTGGAAGTATTTCAGACTTTCAAGTATGGTTTACTACAGATGGAAGAAAAAGAATAATTCCATTATACCATGCGTTTTACTTAGAACTTAGTTTCATATACAACTACTATCGAACGGTAAAAATATAATTTTTTAATACGGTTGAGGTGTTGGATTTGGTTGCCAACTAGACTGTGGTGCAGGTTCAGGCTGTTGTATAACAGGAGCTTGTTCTTCTGGTTCAGGGTCTTTAGGTATAATACCAACGAACTGACCTACTCTTTTACCAATATTTTTGACACCGTTCCATACTCCTCTTCCGACAGATTTTATTCCATTCCATATACCTCTTCCAACATTTCGAAAGAAGTTTCCTATCTTACTGAAGAAACCCATTTTACTATATGTAAAAATCTAATGTCCGCCTAGTCTCTTACGTTTCCTGTTGAGTTCCATAGCATTCTTTAACTGAAGCTCATACATTCTGTTTCTCCTCTGGTAGAAAACATATTCTGGGTCAACTCCTGTGTTCGCGTCATCTGCATAAAGTTGTTTATATCCCACTTCAGGGTTTGTATAAAACTCTTTCCATCTCATATTTGCATACCATGGTGGCAAACCTAACGCAGCGTCATTTGACATGGCAGTTTGCATTTGTACATCTGTTGGCACTTGACCATAGTTTGCCATTGCAGTTTGTATTCTAACTTCATTTGGAATATTCTCTGGGTTTGGTTGTCCAGGTTGCTGTGCATTCGCTAAGTTCTGTGCGTCCATTTAATATTAGATAAAAATATCTCTTACGAGTACATATACTGAACATTTGCAGGCATTGGTTCATCTTCATATTCTCTGTACTTTTCTGTCACGTCAAATAAATAAATGACACAATGGAAAAAACCTAAAACAAGTAGTCCTATTTCAAACCACATTTACTTACTAATAAAATTTCTTTGTTATGACACTTTCTCCGGTTTATAGGACCTCTCTCATATTCTATCTTGTCATATCTAAACTCATAGTCATGTATGTCCTCTAACCATCTCATAACGGTTTCCAAACCACTTTTATCGGATGTAAAGTAAAAGCATGGATGGTTATGTATAACGTCTAAAGTTTCTAAAGAGTCTCTCAAAGTCCAGTCTACTTGGTATTGAAAATCCCATGTGTTATAGAACGGCGGGTCCACTATAAAGAAAACATTTTCCTTGTCTTTATATTTTTCATACAACTCTGTCCAATAACATCTCACAAACTCTATACCCTCAATATATTTTCTATGTCCTCTTTGAAAACATTTGTATAGTTAAGATATAAAACTTTTGACATAAGTGTTTCAATGTCATGAACTCTTATAGCACCACTATATAATAGTCTAGCAGATATACTATCCCAGTCTATATATTCTGCTTTTTTCAAAACCTCTCTCACAATATTTTTGTTATCTAATGGTATACGTTCCATCTTACCTATAGGTATCTTTTCTTTTAACTCTTTCAATATATTGTTTGTGTCTGGTATATGTTTGAGACGGTCCATATAGTTGTCGAAGTCATTGCATATAATCTTTGAGTCTGGGAATATTGTATGGCACAAATGGGATATATAGAAACTTCCACCGAACAAATCTACAAATGTTAGACCATTCGGTAGTTTCTTAAGTTCTCTCAATATAATATCTTTACATCTACTCTTATTTCCAAAGAACGGTAACGGCGGTTTTGTAAAATTCATTTATATATAATAATAAAAATGTTTTTTTCCTGAAAAGTGACAGAAAAGTGACAAAACATGAAAACATATATAATTTGTGAAAAGTGACACATTATATAATGTTTTCGACCCAGAAGAAGGCTTCTTCCCAGAAGCAATGGAGGAAGAAGAAGAGTCCTCCGAATTCACACCAGAAGACTAACAATTTTCCGAATAAAAACTTCATTTATACTAAACATCTTCGGGGCTAGAGGGCACGAAGTGCCTGGAAGCCCCACTACCTTTTTTTTTTGTTATAAATTTATTCCATAAAAAACGACACTTTTCAATATAAAATAATTTTTATTGATGACAGAAGAAAGAAAATCTTCCCCCAAATCAAAATGCTGCGGAAAAACATGTCCTTTTGCATCTGAAGAAGGAGTCCAAAATTTTGTTGAAATGCACGCGGATGCAGTGATTAACTTCCAGTCCATGATATTTTTCCACAGACCCATTCCAATGGCGATTCTTATTATCGCAATTGACTTATTGCTATTCTACATTGGAAAGGCCAATCTAGGTTTCTTACCTGTTCTTACACTTCTTGTTACTTTTTATCTTTCAGGCAAGATTATTATCCAAAAGTATGGCGATCAAATTAGAGCTCAACTATTCCCACCAATTGATCTCACTATACCAACCAATGAACCAAATCATATTTGTTCTAAAGATGAAGTTGCTTCTTTTATCTGGAAGATTTCACAAAAGATTCAAGAGTGCCGCAATAAAAAGATCGAATACACACCAGCAAATATTGCTATTTTGCTCGGAATTTCCACTACCATCTTTATTATTACTAATGTCTTAACAACTCTTGGAGTTTTTGCCATCGTTATTCATGTTCTCCTCCTCGGACCAGGCATTATTTTCAATCCTGCTGTCTATCCACACATCGCTCAGCCACTTCACCTTAAAGCTGATTAAAGAATTATTTAAATCATATTCATTTCTTTTGCCAATTCTCTATAAAAGTTATCCTTCGTATAAAAAAAATTGAATTTGGAAAAGCGGTTTAAACAATCAAAAATCGGACTTATTTTTAGTACAAGCGTTTTGAAATATGAATTTTGAACAAAATGAATTGTTTATGTTCTATTCATGAACCGCCAATTGAAAATTTCATTCCTAAAATGAATTTATGTCTTCTAGCTTGTCTTGCTTTCTCAATCAATGACCAAAAATTATTCGAACAATATATTGATCATGAGGCCAAAAAAGAGAAATACAATCAAACTTATTACGTAAATGATTTTGATCTGAAAAAATCAAACAATCTTGTTTTTTTGGTCGGCAATCAAGAATCTTTTAATCAAGAATTCATGACTTCTGGAACTGCTTTTAACATTGCTAAAGACCTTAAAGCTATCTTGTTCGGGATTGAACATCGTTATTTTGGTGAATCAAAGCCAACAGAAAGTTTATCAACTGAAGAACTCCAATATCTTACTGTTGAACAAACAATTGAAGATGTTCATGATTTCATTGCTCAAATGAGAAATCAATATTGTAAAGATTTAAATAAATGCCAATCTCTAACTGTTGGACAAGGATATGGTGGCTCAATTGCTGCTTGGGTAAAGGTAAAGTATGGAGAGCAACTAAGTATAATTTCTTCATGGGCTTCTGCTTCCCCTTTGTTGGCCAAAAACGAATTTTCAGAGTTTGATAGTTACGAAGCTCAGTTCTTTAAAAATATAGATTCCCAATGTTATACAAATGTCAAAAAAGTGATTGATGCTGCACACAATCTTCTGTTCTCAGATGTTGAGACCCACACCAAAGAAATGATGATGCAAATTTATGGAATTCGTCCTGAGATGCACTTTACATTTTATACAGATTTCATGTACATGCTCTCTGAAGCGATTTCACAAGGTATTCGCAATAGAAAGTTCAATAGCACTTTTTATGATCTTTGTGATACTCTTAGTAAGGCAGATTTTTCAGACCGTTATAATACATCAATCCTTTTGGGTCCATACACTGATCAATTTGTCGGTCATGCTTCATTCCTAAAATTATGGCCAATCATATCTAAATCTCAAATGACTGAGGATAGAGCCAGATTTTGGATGAAATGTAATCAATTAGATTCTTTCCCTATATCAAGTGGTGCTCTTCGTTCTACTTATGTAAATTCGACGTTTTGGAATTATGTTTGTCAGTCTCTTTTCGAGAAAAACCTTCCAGATACAACAGAATTTAATAATGAATATGGTGGTAAAGACATCCAAGCTAAAAATTCATTCTTTACATCAGATGATTATGATGCCTACACTGAACTATCCTGCATTAAGGATGATTCATCAATTGGACGTCGTGGCCTGGTAATTATTAATGCCGGCTATGGTGATGAATTTGCTGACAAGCAAGACAATGAACCAGAAGGCATCACCTTTGCAAGACAAGAAGTTATAAACACTATCCATAACTGGTTTATTCCAACCCCACCCACAACAGCTCCTACTACAGCACCTACATCAGAACCAACATCAGAACCAACAACAGCTCCTACTACAAAACCCACAACGGCTCCTACATCCCAACCAACAACATCATTCAGCCCTTCAATAGCCCCACAACCAACTGATAATCAAAATCAAGGGCTTCCTGTCTATGGAAAAGCTATCATTGGAGCATTAAGCGGCTTAATTGTCATTCTCATCATAGTCATAGTATTCCTTATTATCAAGCGCAGAAAACCAGAACAAGTTCTAGATTCTACTCCATTAAACTCGAATTTGGTCAATTCAATGATCTAAATTCGTTAAATAAAATATTTAGTATTTTAAATATTTATTAAACTTTTTTGTTTTAGCCCACAATTGAGTGCTATTATCTCATTTTAATCCTGGACGCTTTGCAAATATTGTTCGTTCTTAAAAATTGTTCCAAAACTCGAAAATTATATTAAATTCAAGACCGTACCGTTAATTTTACTATACTTTATCTATTCATTTATCGTTTCAATGTGCATTTTCTTGACTTACATGAGCAAACTTCTAATGACTGAAAAAAATCGGCTAATTTATCTTTCAAACTATCAAATTTCGCATCAATCAATGATTAATGACACACAATTCGAATATTTCAGGCCATTATTTCCGACCATGGATAATATTTCAATTGTTAATTGCTACTTTCGAAATATGTCAATAACGACATCAGGAGGAGCGTTAAAGCTTGCTAAACCTACATTATCATCAATTTTAAATAAAGTTTGTTTTATAAATTACATGTCTACTGCCTTTGGTGGGGCTATATACTATCAAGGTTCAATATTAGCACTAGATTGTACATATTTTGATACATGCACTAGCATCGAAGGTGGACAAGCAATCTTTACATATCTTGATAAAACAAATTCCTTTTTTCGTATTGAAAGCAGCACAGTGATAAAAAGCTCTGATAGAACATTTATTGGCCTCTGTCAATCTATATTTATTGACAACGGATTTCAGAATATTTCACTTTTCAATTCATCTTTCAATATTGTTGAAGCAGAAGCAGCAGCAATACACTCCACAAGAAATTTTGGTCAAATAATTAAACATTCGTCTTTTGTAAATAATACAGGTGATACTATCTTTTGGCTTCATAAATTGAGCCAATCAAGCACAATGCAGTATCTTAATATAATTAGGAACAGTGCTCCGCATAAGGGTTCTATTTTCTTTTTTGAAGATTCGATTACAACGATTCGAAACTCTGCTTTAATAAAAAATCAAGGATATTTATTTGATGGTGGAAATTCCTTAACACTTCATGAGGTTTATGCCGATGATATTAATTTTTTGCTGACGAATTCAATATTATTATTTTCTAAATCTATTATCACAAATTCAGAAACATTTCCTGTTATATTCCATTCATATTGCAACAATCAATATATATCGGAATCCTCTGAGCCAAATCTAATTTCTTTTGTTCAATTAATATCGGACAAGCAAATAAAGAGTAAAACATATTTTGCAATGGAAGAAATGGACAATTTGATTTCGAATTATCATTTGAAATCATTTTGTGTTTTTCTATGTTTTACTTTTTTTGTAATTTGCATGCTTGCATATTTACTACACACGCGATTACAAGTAAGACGCCCAATTGCGTTTAGAACTTTTTCGATCTGAAATTTTGACATTTTTATTTTATGGTCAATGAATAAAATTTAGTGAATTTCTTGTATATTAAGATGATATGATAAATTAATAAAAATATCAGTTTTTTGTCAGAAAAGATAATGAATCAAATATCTTCAAAATTGAAACCTCTTGAACAAGCAATACAAGCTAATGATCCTTTAAGAATATCAAAATCTCTACATACAATTAAAGTTGAATTACAGATATCTCAACTAGTAGAATCGAATTCGAATGATTCAAAACCAATAATTTCTCAATTAATGTCTCTTGCTCTCCCATTAACATGCCATGAAGATTTAAATATTCGAGTTGAAGCCAATGCATTTATTTCATATTGGGGTTCTTTACTTTCAGGTTTTGCACCAAATTTATTACGAACTGTTCTTTCTGAAATCGATACTTCAAAGCTCCAGCCTCCATCACAGGCCGTATTATTTACATTTTGGTGTTTAACTTTGCGCTCGGTTGCTCCTTGTCAACGACAACAACTTATAGGTACATGCCAAACATTTATTAAAGCAACGAAACCAGAATTTTTGCAAAAAGTTCCTCAAGATGTATGGCTGCTAATCCGTGAATCGATGACGGAAGAAAATTTACAAAAAATTATTGATTTTTTAATTAACTCACCACTATCATCTACTGTTGCATTTTTATCACAAAAATCGCCAACTTATTATTTCTCATATGTTGTCAATAAGTCCAATTTAGAATTTTTAAAAGATTTTCTTTACGAGTGGCCAAAAGAGCGCAACATTGATGTAATACTACTTGAAGATACATTACTTCGTTATTTGAAATGCGATAATTCAAGTCATATTTCTGCTTCAATAGAGATCATTACTTTATTACTTCATCGGTACTACAGGCATCCTCCATCCAAATATATACCTTTCTGGATTACTATTGTCGGAACTCTATGTGATATATATTCAAAAACGAATGTTGCACAAAAGGCTGCAATTATTGATTGTTTCACAATTTGTGCTCGTCTCAAATTAATATCAATCGATAAATTAAAGATGTTTTTATCATACGATGATCAGATTCCGACTCCAATTTTAATTTCAATAACAAAACTAACAGCGTTATTTATCAAAGAACACCTAATACCCGATAACTTTTTATCATATTTAGAAAAACAAGCAATCGAACGTGATCCATTAATTTTTATTTCAATTATCGAAATTTTGACAGAATGTTTTGACGAATTATACAGTATTGCACCATCACAAGCAACAAAGATTATCAATTTATGTCTTAATCCTTTACCTCGCTATTTCGTTGAACAAATTCAACTTATAAAATTGCTTGAAAATATTAATTTCAGCATTTTTCTACCAAATAATCTCTCAATTTCATTTGAGGATATAGTTTTGGCTTTCATATCTGATCCGCATCCATCAGTCATTCAAGAACTACCATATTTTCTTGAAAAACTATCTATAAGTTTGGAATACTCCCATTTGGATTGGTTTGAAAATGCAAGTTCTTATTTACCTTTAATTGCAAATATTGATCCTTCTTTTGTTGTTGAACTAATTGATGCTGGCTTACTACCGCCAGCTTCTTATGAGATGTCAGTTACAACTATATTAGACCAAGTTCAAAGGAGCCCTTGCCAGCGTGCAGATGATCTTTTCCATAGAGTTTTATCTGTTTTATTATCATCCCTCTCAACTCTCGGGTTTTCATTTGACAGAGCTGTTCTATCGTCTCAAGTAACACAATGGAATCATATAAGCAAAGCACTCCCAGATTTATTAAATTTATTAAATGAACCAATTATGCAATCTACTTTTGGACAAATTGTTAATGCAAGTGTTCTGATTCTTGCTCAAATTATTGCTCAATGCAGTCCTTCTTTCCCTACTGTTGCGGGCTTATTTGACGTTTGCCGTTTCTTATCAAATGCCTTTACTACTTCAGTTTGTAAATTGGTTGTTGCACTCCGTGAATATGCCGAAACCAAGTTTCCCGAACTTCATTCTCTTGTATCAATGCAAGTTTCTGCTTTCTTTGCTCAATCTTTCCCGTTTGATTGTGCAGTATCCGTTGCTCTCTCATCATTCATGGCATCACCTGGCTCTGCTTGCGGCCCTTATATCTTAACTGCCGCTGAGACATCAAGAGAGGTTCTTGCTGCCATGGATAGAAAAGGGGAAAAATTGCCATCTTCTAATGCTTTCCTTGCAGCTAGATTAAACATGGATTACATTAAACAATGCGCATCGGAAATTCCATATAATAATTGGATTATAGAAGAAGGTGATGAAGAAATCATTAAACAGCTATCAGGCATAAAGATCTCCGATTTTTCATTGCTGTCACCTTTAAAGATAGAAATTTATGAAAGAAATGCTCAAAATTTCGATTTTGTCAGGCCAGCTGCTGAAATTGTTGGCACCGAAACTATTGAAATCAAATGTTTAGAGAAAGGAAATCCAAAATTTTTATCTTTACCAATATCTGATTTCAAAATTGAACATGATCCAACAAATAAACCTAGCTGGTTCAAGAGCGAATCAAATGCAACAACCAAAAACTCAAAAGAAAAGAAGTCAACATGCAAAATTAATATCCTTGGCGAACCAAATATCCTATATCCATATAGGAAGCCATGCAAAGCAGATTTAACCGGATTCTTATGGTTTTCATTCCGAAAGGTGTCAATAGATGAATGGAACTCAATTGAAGAATTTTGTCTCAATAATATTAATGATGAGCGACTCACAGCTGCATTCTTTTCATATGCTTGCCGGCACGGGCTCGATGTTGACAATGAAAAATGGTGTCTAAATCTAATTATTGATCGAAGAAATCATTTCAGATTTTTATCCGATTTACTTCTTCTCTCTCTCTTGAAAAAACCTTTATCTGCTGTAAATGCAAGATTTATAGAAGACATGATGATTGGATTAGGACATATTACAGCAGATGAAGAATATTTAAGGAGAGCATTAAACGAAGAACAAGGGCTGAGTTTATTAGCCGTTCAAACGATATTTAAACTAATTTCAGCAGATGAATTGCCAGATGAAATTATCATTAAAGATATTAAAACAATTCTCGCAATGCCATACAACGAATCTATTCCTATTATATCTAAACTGTTTTTCCCTCCTGCTCCTCAGTCAAGAGTTGATCGGTTCCAATTACCACCAGGTGTGAAAATCATTCAGCAAATTCTACCTTCTGCTGTAGAACCACTTGAACCTTTGCATGTCAAATTGCTTGATGAGCTTGTAAATGGGATATTAGATTTATTCGAAGAAGGGAATTTTTCAATATTTATGATTCCAATTTTGAATTCTTGTGAATTGGATGAGAATCAATTTCAAAAAGTAATACAATATATTGATGGCATTTCCTATATTTTTCCTTTAAGTATTGTTGAGAGCATCAAAAACATCAAAGATTTGCATCCATTTAGAAGAATCGGAAATCCAGAAGCCAATTATGTCACAAATTGTGAGGAGCTCATACCATATTTCCCTCCTTCATATACAAGGGAATTTATTAAATTATACTTAGGGTATCAAAAACTTACTACAATGGACGACTTCAAACGAATAATTTCGAAATTAAATCCGGTGTACTTCGAACTACTCCCACTTGGTTACGAGAAAGTTTCTGATAAATTAATTGATGAAAGATTTAAGAGAATGGAAGAGAGTGCTTGTTTGGTGTCTCCTCTAGATAGGAACTTATTGTTCGAATCAAGGAGTGCTATGAGCAAATGTGAAAGCCGCGCAGCTTGGATTGCAAAATGCTTGCTAGGCTCATCTACTTTATCTTTTGCATCCGGAAGTGCAAATCAAGAAACTGCAATTTCTGATGTTGCTCAGTTACTATTCGAATTGTGTGCAAGAAAGTTCAGGTTTTCTTCCACAACAACTGACGTCTTGAGAGTCATTGTTGAGACTGCTGGTGCTGATACATTATCTTGCTTCGCAGCCTCAAGAGAAAGTGTGAATGATAACAACTTCACAAACACTTTGCTAAGTGTTCGTAGCTTAGCTCAAAGACTGGGTGAAAATGGTAATTACATTCTAACGATGGCTGCTAGTTTATGTGAAAAAGAAAATAGGAAAAGAGCGTTCGAAGATGAAAACACATTACATGCACTTGCCTGTGCAATGAATGGAGATTACGAATAGTCTTTTTTTTAGAAATATTTAAATTTTATTTGTTTGTATATTTTTTTTATATTATAATTTGTCTGATCACAAGCACTTAAGACTTTTATAACAATAGAAATGTGTTTATGATATTGAAATAGTCAAATTACAATTTTTTTTCTAAGATGTCTTATTGAAAAACAGATTTGTCTGATCACAAGCACTTAAGACTTTTATAACAATAGAAATGTGTTTATGATATTGAAATAGTCAAATTACAATTTTTTTTTCTAAGATGTCTTATTGAAAAACAGATTTGTCTGATCACAAGCACTTAAGACTTTTATAACAATAGAAATGTGTTTATGATATTGAAATAGTCAAATTACAATTTTTTTTTCTAAGATGTCTTATTGAAAAACAGATTTGTCTGATCACAAGCACTTAAGACTTTTATAACAATAGAAATGTGTTTATGATATTGAAATAGTCAAATTACAATTTTTTTTCTAAGATGTCTTATTGAAAAACAGATTTGTCTGATCACAAGCACTTAAGACTTTTATAACAATAGAAATGTGTTTATGATATTGAAATAGTCAAATTACAATTTTTTTTCTAAGATGTCTTATTGAAAAACAGATTTGTCTGATCACAAGCACTTAAGACTTTTATAACAATAGAAATGTGTTTATGATATTGAAATAGTCAAATTACAATTTTTTTTTCTAAGATGTCTTATTGAAAAACAGATTTGTCTGATCACAAGCACTTAAGACTTTTATAACAATAGAAATGTGTTTATGATATTGAAATAGTCAAATTACAATTTTTTTTTCTAAGATGTCTTATTGAAAAACAGATTTGTCTGATCACAAGCACTTAAGACTTTTATAACAATAGAAATGTGTTTATGATATTGAAATAGTCAAATTACAATTTTTTTTCTAAGATGTCTTATTGAAAAACAGATTTGTCTGATCACAAGCACTTATCAAGTTCCTCATTCTTTATATGATTGATTTCCACTCAAATATTTATTCATATTAAAAAATTATATCATTATAATTTGCTTATTTCATCTTCATTGCTGTAATTTTTAATCTTTCAATTAATTCTTTTGGTACGTATTCTAAATATTCTTCTTTTGTATCTAAAATTGTTTTGATAACGAATTCTAATCTTTCGTTTTGCAAACTTTCGTCTGTAAAGTAAATCTTGATTGAAATCTCGAGTATCTTGTTTACAAAACGATGGATACTTAATGTGTGCATTGAAACTGAGAATTTATTGGAAATTCTGAATAAAAGTAATTTATTTGTTACTTGAGATGGCTCAAAGTTTTCCAAAACGTATTGCAGAATATCGCTTTTCCAAATACAATTCGTGAGTATTAGATTAGCTAACAAATCTGCATTTGTATTTCCAAATTCCGCGAAAAGGCGCTCTAAAATAACCGTTTTGTAATCTGACCTGAGAATCGTATAACCCATTAAATGAATTTTCTTTGATATTGCCTGTTTGTTTGAAAATATTTCTTGTATTGATTTTTCATTTTCAATTAGTAATTTGTCACATTCTCTCGTAAACATATTGTAAATATTAATAACGTTTTCTTCATTGTAACTTGTCTCATCACTAAGATTTGAAATAACGTTTATAAAAATTTCCGCAGCTCTTGATGGAAGCAAAAACTCCCTGTGTGTATTTGTTTCTAAGGGTATTCATTTATATAGCATTGAAGTATATATTATTAGCTATCATTACATATCGGTCAAGTTTGATTTGGACTTAGGATGTGTAATGCGAATGCAAATTATTATTTTAATTTATAATTAAAATAGCCCAACTTGTAGTATAGTCTCTAGCAATGTACCTGTCACACTATGGAAGGCTTTAAACTTGATTTTAAAGAACAAGCCAAATAATCAGATTTTAAATAATGAGAATTTAATGTAGTGAACACTTATTTAAGTTCGTGAATGAATCTATATCCTTTAGTAAAATACAATTGAATAGGTTTACACGAGTGTGGTAGAATTTACGAAAAAGTGACAATAGAAAAGTGACACTTAACCTTAAATTTCCAAACACTATTTTTGATTGTATTTTGTTATTTATATATTTATATATATAAATATATTTATATATGTATATTTATATATGTATATTTATATATGTATATTTATATATGTATATTTATATATGTATATTTATATATGTATATTTATATATGTATATTTATATATGTATATTTATATATGTATATTTATATATGTATATTTATATATGTATATTTATATATGTATATTTATATATGTATATTTATATATGTATATTTATATATGTATATTTATATATGTATATTTATATATGTATATTTATATATGTATATTTATATATGTATATTTATATATGTATATTTATATATGTATATTTATATATGTATATTTATATATGTATATTTATATATGTATATTTATATATGTATATTTATATATGTATATTTATATATGTATATTTATATATGTATATTTATATATGTATATTTATATATGTATATTTATATATGTATATTTATATATGTATATTTATATATGTATATTTATATATGTATATTTATATATGTATATTTATATATGTATATTTATATATGTATATTTATATATGTATATTTATATATGTATATTTATATATGTATATTTATATATGTATATTTATATATGTATATTTATATATGTATATTTATATATGTATATTTATATATGTATATTTATATATGTATATTTATATATGTATATTTATATATGTATATTTATATATGTATATTTATATATGTATATTTATATATGTATATTTATATATGTATATTTATATATGTATATTTATATATGTATATTTATATATGTATATTTATATATGTATATTTATATATGTATATTTATATATGTATATTTATATATGTATATATTTATATATGTATATTTATATATGTATATTTATATATGTATATATTTAAAAGACGGTGGTTCACCAACATGATTATGAAAATGATGTCCATTTACAAATCTGTATTGATTAGATTTCATTTCAAAGGTAAAGTTAGCACTACAACTTCCCCATCTACAGTAATGTCTAATAATTGTTACTCCATCTGAATTCAAATGCGAATCTTTCCGATAATTGCAGTTAGCACGCATCTCTGCTTGAACTCCATATTGAAGATAATGAATGAAATCAATATATTGTTTTGTATCAGCAAGGGGTGCAGGAACGGATTGATTCATTTAAAAAATGAAAAAAAGTGAGAATTGTAAATAATTAATGTTAATATTGAATAAATAATACATCAAACTAGTTTTAGAGTTGATAGTAAGAAGCGAAGAACACTACCAGTAAGATACAGCAGTAGTAGCTGCTTCATGCTGCATTGAGTATTGTTGAATAATTTGAAGTAGTGGTTTTTGAAATCAGCACCCCTATGAGAGCGCTGGCGACCGAAACACCACTAGTAAGATTGTGTATTAGAAACTGCTTCATGCTGTGTTGAGTAAGCTTCGATGTCTTTGTAGGATAGCTTTCTGAGAGCGAAACAAGATAGTGTTGAAAAAAAATTTGAAAATCTGAGAGACTGTGCAAGAGCCAACGACCAAAACACTACCAGTAAGATACAGCAGTAGTAGCTGCTTCATGCTGCATTGAGTATTGTTGAATAATTTGAAGTAGTGGTTTTTGAAATCAGCACCCCTATGAGAGCGCTGGCGACCGAAACACCACTAGTAAGATTGTGTATTAGAAACTGCTTCATGCTGTGTTGAGTAAGCTTCGATGTCTTTGTAGGATAGCTTTCTGAGAGCGAAACAAGATAGTGTTGAAAAAAAATTTGAAAATCTGAGAGACTGTGCAAGAGCCAACGACCAAAACACTACCAGTAAGATACAGCAGTAGTAGCTGCTTCATGCTGCATTGAGTATTGTTGAATAATTTGAAGTAGTGGTTTTTGAAATCAGCACCCCTATGAGAGCGCTGGCGACCGAAACACCACTAGTAAGATTGTGTATTAGAAACTGCTTCATGCTGTGTTGAGTAAGCTTCGATATCTTTATCAGACCACCTTTAAATTAACCACTCACATTCTCACTGTGGTCCATCTAAAATTTGTAAACTTTATGACATAAAATTATATTATATGCAGGATCCCACCTATTACTTAATCTTTTTGGAATAAATGTTTTATAATATTTATCGATTGATTGTAATTTTTTGTATAAAAAAGTTTTTTATTTATATTAAAAATATATTCGGTTAATGATATTATCTTATAATTTGTAAATAAATCTAGTAATAAAATAACTTTAATAGTTGGTGTCACTTTTTCGAAAATTCTGGTTTTTTCGATCTTCTTTAATCTCCCAGATTGCATCCATAAATTGATTAAATTCTTCTTTAGAGAATGGTTGGGAAAGAATTTTCACAATAAATGGAAGAATATTATCCATATTTTAAAAAAGTGACAGAATTGCTAAATTTAGATTTTCTCATATATCAGTTTAATTTCTAAAATAATATCGTAAATGCCTAAAATTTTATTCCACTCCTTCAAAATATATGAATTGTTTCCTTAAATTATGAGATTTGCATCCTTCTTAGATAAATTTCAATTTTGACATTGTGAATAATCACCAAAATTTTTAAAAAATTTCAAAAATGAGCTTAATATCATTAATTTTTCAAGACAAATTCGGTTTTCTCTAATTTTTTTGGAGTTTTTCGAAAACAATTTTCATTTTTCTCGTCAAATAAAGGAAATAGAACAAAATTAAATAATGAAACAAAGATCATATATTATGTTCTTTTATTATCAACTAAGGAATTGAAGTATAACATCCAATTATAATTAAATTTCAGAAAAAGTAAAGAAATCTGAAAACAATAGTAATGAAAAAACTCCTCTTAATAGTGCAGATCACTATTATATAACTTATAAAATTTTGACAATCATATGCCTCCTCGTACTTTTCATTTTTCTCAGCCTCAGATCGATGAATTGAATGGAGCAGCTATCATATATCAAAAAAATGCTACGAATAAACATGAATTTCTGAATCAATTTTTAAATTTACACTTTCCAAATTATTCAAAAAATTTAAGAAAGCACGTATGGAATTATTTAAAGCGTGCTTGCACAATTCAACTCAGAGATTGCGATAAAAACGTTTACACACAATATTATATTAGTCCTCCCTATAATTTCACAAAATTGATTCATCCGGCACCGAACATTCATATTCAATCGTTTACAAATGCGAAGGAAGCTGCAATTACAAAATAAAAGTGACACTGTACCCAAATCAAATTCCAAAAATCGAACCTCTCAGTGTGAGCATTCATGCACACCAAAAGGTACAGTTTTTAGAGATATTGAAGAAGAAACAAAAATTAGGGATCTAATGCAAATTACACGTGAACACCATTCAATACAACCGTTAACTTCAGAAGCGCAAATATTATCATATTTACTTTCTGAGGCAACAAAACTTGAAAGGCCTCCAAAAATACCAGAAAATTTACCACGCACATTATACAAAGAGTTTTATCCACATAATTTGGTTATTCCAGATTTTGTGGAACAAATTCTTTCAATTACCAAACAAAATTCCGAAAATTTTCTAAAATACATCGCGTTTTACCCAGAACCAATAATAATTTTCGGTTATGATCGTTCTGTCTCAATTTGTCACTCAGCAACAAAATTATTCTTGGACGGTACCTTTAAAATCGTCCCAAGACAGTTCGATGACAAGGGTCAACTCCTTACATTAATGGTGCTTGACCAAACAACGAATGAATACATTCCTGTTGTCCACATTCTTATGAAATCTCGGACAGCAGAAGCGTATACAACCGCATTTTCCGCATTAATTTCAATAATTGGGTTCAACAATTTCAAAACTGTTTACGTAGATTTTGAAATCGCACTTTACAAATCCATTAAATTATTTTGTCCAAACGCAAAGGTTACTGGCTGCTTATTTCATTATCGCCAAGCATTAATTCGCAAAATAAAAGAATTATACCCGAAACAAGAGATACCAAAAGAGATTTTTACACTTTACCAAATTTATTCCTCATTACCTTTCGTCGAAAAAGACTCATTTTATCAAATACTTAAATTAATCGATGAGTCATCCTCAGAAATTGCAAAGCCGTTCGTAAATTACTATAAAAAAGTATGGAAGAAAGATTATGAGTTCATTAACCAATTAGATTCAGAGGATGATATCTACACAAATAATGCTCTTGAATCCTTCCATTCTTTGCTTTCGAAAGAATTAGAAAATGCCCATCCTAGCCTCGAAATAATGATTGCAATCTTAATGAAAGTCGATAAACACTTGTTGGATAAACAATTACTCAGTACAAAACCAGCAAAACATCCTGTCAATTATACAAAGTCCACAGCAAATATTAAAAAAGCAATTACAAATTATTTATCCGAAACAAATCGAAATTCCAAGAAAATCAAATCAAACTTAAAGAATTTCAACAGTCAAATCAAGTAAACGAGAATTCAATCGACTTTACACCAGAAACAGGTGAGTTTTCTCAAAATGATGAGAAGATTCTCAATGAAATCCCAAATGACCAGAATAAAGTGGTTAATCAAGTGATCAAATCAATGGCAAATCCATCAAATTACAAATTCGATAAAACATTACTCACCGAGAATTTATTCTCAATCGAACAAAAGGGAATCACGAAAATTAACCGAACCAAATTTCCAAAACAAAGAAGTAATCGTTGTCTTACAAGAAAAAAGAACATACAAAAGCCTAATGGTGATCTTGGTGAAAAATTTTCGAAAATTACTCGCAAAACAAGCAAAATTGAGAAGGCTCATTCAAAGTTAGTATACAAGTCTTGGGTACGGCGGCACTGCGTTCCACCTTACCCAATACTTGTGAATTTGACACTTTACAAAACCGCCAACCACTTCACTAACGAACTCACTAATGTAAAAAATAAACGTTCTCACTATCGTTCTCACTAACGACTTCACTAATGTTCTCATAAATTTTCCTCAATATCTTCATCATCAGTGTTAACCCTATTGTAGTCATACTTGAAGCCATAAACTTTCTCTAACTTCTTAACGTACAATTTACATAACTTACCTTCGTCATCGTATGGTTTAATGATATAACTATTTCTATCTTTATACACAGTCAATGAAAAGTCAACTGGTCTCGGATGTATTTGAAAGAACATGTTATGCTCAGGAAGGAAGAATAAATGTTTAAATGTATGTTTGTTATACTGTGGAATTCGAATGAGTTGCTTTTGTTCTGTCATTTATATAAAAATAAAATAAAAAATAAACTTAAAAATAAACTTAAAAATTAATGATATCACCACCCTCACACGTATGAAAACATAGCGCAAAAATAAATTTAGGTGAAGTGGTGAGATCTCACCTCTTTTTTCACCTGTTTTTCACCTGTTTTTTACCCTGTTGAATTCATTGCTTTATAACTCTCTTCCTTTATCCAACTCTTCTAACTTCTTCCTAAGTTTAGCAATGTTGTCCTCATGAAGTTTAATCTTTCTCAAAATTCCTTCTCTATCTAATGGTTGTTTTATCTTTCTAAACTGAACTCTACCATCCTTCATAGTATGAATGTAAAAACCTTCTGGAATAGTTCCTGATTTAATGTATTCTACCAAAAACTTTTGTTTCATTGCTTCAGTGACTTTAGTCGTCATTTTACTCTAAATAAAATGTTCAAATAAAATAAAAATAACGTTATTTTTTCAGTAAGGAAACGCAGGAGTTTTACGATTTATTTGAGGAGTAGGTTCTGGTTTAAATGTTGGAGTCGGTTTAGGAGTTGACTTTTGAACAGGAGTTTGTACTTCCATAGGTTCAGGAGTCATTGAAGGTTTTGCTTGTGAAGGCGTTGGTTTTGGCGAAGGTGTTGGAGTTTGTTTAACTTCAGCTACTTCAGTATTATTTACAACATTTGCTTTATTTCTTTTCAACATCATAACTGCTCCTGCTGTAGCTAGCAAACCTAGTGGGAGACCATATTTATATAAGGACTTGACCAAATGCTATTTTTGACAGGAGCTGGTGGAACACCTAACCTTGGTGAGACTGCTCTTTGCCATTGTGCAGCTCGTAAGAAATATTCAATAGGTGCTCCATAATCGTTTGGTAAAGTTTGTTTCATAGATGGTGAAGGTTCACGAGAGCTTGATGAAGAACTCATTTATAAGCTTTAAAAATAAACGTTCATCCTTTATTCCTCACTGTCGTCCGTAGCTAAGTTATAGTCATCTAATCTTATTATTGGGATGCCATTAGCACGCACCTGAATGGCAAAGCAACAATCCCTCATAAATCCAATAAGTGGCTTTGGTACATTTTCAGTTGCTAGTTCAATAGGTCCTTTAACAGACAATTTGTATGTTATTGGAGCAGTAGATGTTTGACCTTGCTGGAAGCAAAAGTCCACTTCTGTTGGAAAACCACATAAGAAATGTGTGTTGTCATAGCTATCCCATTTATGTTCCACACTACCATCATCCACCAATGACCTCATAACATCTTCATTAAATCCTATCATATCATTGTTTGTATTGCAAGCGTTCGCAACCATTTCATAAAATACAGGTCCATATGATTTTTCAGGTTCTGCAGGCATATTTCCATAAGCTCCCATGGAAAGCTGAAGATATTTAAACTTAGGGTTCTCAAAATTAACATAATAGTTGTCTTTCTTTCTAAATAGTGCCCAAATACTTTTAACATTAATAGGCGTATAAGCTGCTGTAAATGTTGCACTTGAACTATCTGTATTCTTTGAGAATGAACCGTCCATAGGAATCCAATCCATAACTTTAACAGGAAAACATAAAGCCTCGTTTGTATAATGTTCTACAAGTTCTGTATAAATGTTAGGGTCTAAAGAGAATGACTTTGGATGAATGAAACATTCATTAAAATCCATCTTTGTTCGAAATAGTTGCTGGGTTACAGTTGTAATAGTAACTGTTCCACTAGCTTCTACTGCCTTCGTTATCATAGTGAATGGTTCATTCCATGGAACAAATTTATTTGTCGGTGGATTTGAATCTGAAGCAAATGCAACTTTAAGAGTTGGATTGAAAGCAATGATATCATTTACAGATATAGATGTGCATTGTAAGGCGTCGCTACTGAACTTTACTTTAAGCTGAATGTTTCCTGCAAAAGCTGGAATAAATCGAATAGCTTCTAATGGAAGGAATCTTCTAACAGGAATTCTTAAACGAAGCTTAAAATCAAATGATTTTCCTGCTGTAATTGGACCACTAACAATTTGTCCTGTTCTGCATGTTCCCGAATGACTCCATACATCTTCATGTCGAGTCTTTGAGAAAACATCTACTTTCTTTATTTGTTCGGTAGTTTGTGAGTTTGAAGTTATATATGCTTCTTCTCTTGCGTTGTCTTGAGAATATACGATACGACCATTTGCAAGGATTTGATATCCAGCAACTGCATAGAAAGCGTCATCGAAACCAATCCAAAATCCTGGTGGGTTTGTTTTATTGGAACCTGAACCAATTTCTTTATCTACAATAAATTGACCTTCCATTTTATACGTAATGAATGTATTGTAAAGGTCCAACATATTTTCACCAGGAGGTGAGAGATTGAATGTTACCCATGTGTTATCTTTAGCAGTTCCAGGTTGTGATGGAATCTTTGCGTCAGAATATTTTCTATTAGTGTCACCAATTTGAACTGCATTGTCTATGATATCGAAATATGAGCGAATCTGATGAATATGCTCTGCTGGAGTAAATTCGTTTAACTGTTCGTTCTGCATGTATTTACTTCAGATAAAAATATCTATTTACTTCATTATTCTCACTCTTCTTCTTGGCATTCGTGGTGGAAGTTGTTTCTTGACATTTTCAATGAACTGTACATTCTCTTTTGTCTCAACTTCTTTCACTGGTGGGTCAGGGTTCTTTGACTCGGTTTGTTTTTCAATGAAATTCACGAACTTTGCAATAAGCTCTTGGTTCGTTATTGAAAGTACATCTGGCTTCTTTTCTTCTGGTTCTATTTTTCTCAGTTTGAACAGAAGGTTTTATATGGGCTTCGCCCTCGTGCCATGCACCTTAATGTTGTCGCTTTCTGCATTCGCTAATGGAACCTTTCTTTTTCTTACGTATATTTTACCATCTTTACTCTGACTTACGTAATAGAAAGGATGTTGTATTCCTCTTGCGTCATTTAATATAATAGACTCTCGCTCTGATTTTGACAAGCTCATTTTACATCGGTTAAAGTTTTAATTTTGTTTTTTATCTGCAGTCAAATGACTCAGACAAGCCCTACGGACAAGACCCAAGGGGTCATAGATGTTGAAGCATTGAAGAAAGAAATTCGTGAGCAAATTTTATCCGAACTGAAGGAACAAAAACAAGAACAAAAGCCAGAGAGACCAAAGAGAAAACTTAGTGAAAAACAACTTGCTGCATTAGCTGCTGGAAGACAAAAGAACCCACGTTTGCTGGCGAAGAAAGCTAGAGAAGAAGCTGAAGCAAAAGCTAAAGAAGCTGAAGCAAAGAAAGAGTAAATGGTTTATTTTTATCCGAATTAAATGTATAGACAAATACCTTTATCTGTTGCGTTCAGTAGTGAAAACCCTGACGTCAAAATAAAGGGGAACAGAGTAACGTTTAAGTTTCCAACAGACTGGATTGTGAACATAAATGAAGAGAAGTACATTGGCATAACATCTATGTATATAACACGTGCTTTCAGAAAGGTTGACTTTATACTTCAAGTCGAGATAGAAAATGACGAACAGTCTTTAAGCGCCCAAAACATTCACATATACAAATACTTTAAAGACGATACAACATTGTTGCAATGTATGATTTCATTTAATGAGATGTTCGAGAAAAAGTTCAACATTGAAGTACAAACTTTACAGCCTTTACGTGAGTTTCTTGCACAACTGAAAGAAGAAGGTAGTCAGCCACAACTTATAGACTTTCATTATGAATTTAATGAAAATGAAGATGGAACTCATGACTGTCAGTTTGTTATATATTCACCATTCAATGAAGTAGCTAAAAGAAAGAAAATCCATTACGTATAAGATTTCAAATCTCTGAACCAATGATGATTTCAAGAATGTTTTCAATTATGATGCAATGCTTCCGAGGAAAAATGAATTTTCAAAGATTGTAACACCTGGCATTTGGGATAGAAAGCAAGCTATATTATATTCAAACTTAAGTAAGGGAGTTGAAAATGAGTTCATTGGTCATACAAGAACTTCACCACTTCCTAACCCTAAATACTATAAATTAACTGGCTTCAATCGTGAGTTTTGGATAGACATGTTCTCCACTCATGACCATAACTGCCCAGTGTTCTTACCTCCAGACCATAAGGACTGTCTCTACATTGAAGCACAACTCTTAAACTCTACCATCGCTATTGTAAAATCTACGCTAGTTTTATTTTTTTCTGAAAATTTTATTTGAGTGAAAGGCATGGAAGGTGAAGGACATTGGCAAACACTCGAACATGACAATGACTATGAAATCTTTTCAGAGTACCCTTATCCAATTAGACGTATAAGCAATAAAAGAGTTGTTAGTGAGTTTGACCAAGGAGATGGTTATATTTGTGTAAATTTAAACAAACACAAGCTGATGAAACATAGAATAGTTGCAGAAACTTTCATTCCGAACCCTGAAGGACTTCGTGAAGTAGACCATATAAACAGAGACAGAGGAGACTTTCATATCTCGAACTTAAGATGGACGACAAGAAGAGAAAACATGAGAAATATTTCTGGTTCAAATGGCTATTGGTTTGACATTGTTGACTCTCTTCCTGAAGACGCTGTTGAAATTATACAATACTCATATCACACGTTAGAGAACTACTACTATGTCCCAAGTGAAGATGCCTTTTACTATTTCATGGGAACTCAATACAGACGAATGAATGTCTTAAGACAGTATAACAAAGATTATATAAACATTACAGATGTAGAAGGAAGAAGAACAAAGCTGTCTATTGCAAAGTTTAAGAGAGACAATGGTTATACATAAATGACAAAAATATATGACCTCATTATTTATTATTTTTATCACGAATGACCTCATTGCTGACAAAAATAAATGACCTCAGAACTTCAACTTACGAATAAAGCTTGTTTTAGTCGTTATTGAGAAGTTAAACTTTTCAAAAGCAAGGTTGACAGACTTACATAAGTCAAATCCAATCTCTTGACCATCATAAGTGCTTTGTAAAGTTTCATTAAACTGAACTCAGAGTCTTTGTCATATGTTCCAACAGGTATGTGAATGTTCTTATCTTCATTGTAATAGCATTGTATAGCTTCAGGAAACATTTCATTTGCTGTTAAAGCAAGGACGTCTTGTTTGACACCTTTGCAACGTGCATGGAATGCAACTTCATTTAAATCGTTAGTGAGTAAGTCTATGTAGTCTTCTTTCCACAAAATATTGACTTGTATGCTAAACTTTGTTTTCCAGGTGTTATTTCTGCGAAGTCAGAATGAACTGACCAAGTTTTTCCATAAGTTCGCGACCGTATCTCTTCTTAAACTCTGCTGCAAGCTTTGGTATGTCTTCATTGAAAATATGCATGCTATCACAGTCCTGGTAAAATATTTGAAGTCCCATATCTTCAGCAGTACAGAATACTTCACACATTATTCTCTTCGACATAGATAGAATATTAACACCAAGTGGACAGAAGTTAAAGTGTCTGCAAATGCTTTTCGTTAGCTTGAAAATAGTTTTATCTGAACCATCCAAACCTTCGAACTTCACTATATGGTTGTAGTTTCTGATGGCATATCTTATAGCATCTTTGTCATTTACTATGGTTATTTTTGACTCAATAGGAGATAGAATAGTTTTGCCATAAATACTGTTCAGAATGAGCTTTATATTTTCTTGCAAAGGATTTCCTTCTTTCTTATACTTTAACCTTAACTCAAACAACTTCTTTACTTCATCTCTTATTCTAATATCTCTGTTTCCATCGTAATAGTATCCTTGCAACACTTCACATTTGACACCTTGATATTTTATGAGGTCTTGTAATGTTATATGGTCAACATACATTAAACAGCAAGTGTTTGAACTTCTGGGAACGTTAAGTTCTGGATTTAGTTCAGGGTCACAAACTATTAAAGGAAAGTGTCTATGTATTCCAATCTCTGTTATCTTAATGAGAACAAAGAAGCCAGACATAAACTTTTCACCAATGGGTTCCTTTTGGTCGTCATCGAATAAATGTCTCATGAGATACTCTGTGCTTAACATCTCATCCTTCAATACTTTTGGAATTCCTTCTAAAGTATAAAGTCTTGCTATAGCGGATGGATATAATGAAACAGCGTCGAAGTCAGCAATGAGTTTCTTTTCGCTCTTTTGTTTCATGTTATCTGACAACATACATCTTCCACCTTGAATGCATCTCGAAATAAATTCTCTTGGTTTATTTGAGAGGTCATATAAATTTCCATTCGGGAAGTATACTCTGTTCTCAAATAATTTGTTAGCAATTGAACAAATACTAACGTAGTCATAAACGTTTAAATCAAATTCTTTCAATATGTCATTGCGGAACTTAACAAAACCTTCTCTTAAAATTCTTACATCTTGTTTGCAATAAAATGTGCTATATTTTTCTAATCGAAGTGGTTTTCATCTATTCTGCAACTTTGATGGAATCTATGTTTTTCATAAATGTATCTGCATCCTGGATAAACTTACACGCTTCAGAAATGACACCAGTTCTGTTGTCATTTGCTAAACAAAACACTGCTGTAGTAGTTGTATGGAAAACTTCTTTCGGTCCTGTTTGTAAGTTAAACATAGCAGGAAATAGTTTAAGCTTCTTATTTATAACACTGTAAGAGTCTTTTATAATAATTGCCCTTCCTTTATATAAGCCAGTTATTTGCATTGTTCGTGAACCTTTAATGATGGGAGTTCCTTTCACTTCTGTCATGTGTCTTAAGATGAAGTTTATATCATAACTGAGGTTATGGAAATATATTAAACTCTTGTCAGGAAGTCGTTCCAAAAATTCTGTTGCACAGTTCTGACCCCAAATGCTTTCACTCACTGAACCATCTTCACTGTCATAACAGATGTTAAAAGCTTTATGAAAGCCATCGTGCTACACTCAAAGTCAGCAAAGAAAACGTGCTCAGGAATGAACTTGCACTTATTTTTATTTACTTCTTTTGACTCGGCTTTCTTCTTCAGTTGTACACAATACTTTGGAGCATATGTCAAATCTTTAAATGGTGCAAGGTTCTGTTTATATAAGTCAGTCGTATATGTGAAAAGTTCTCCATAAGAAATAGGTTCGAAATATTTGCACTCCCACAATGTTTTCATAACATCCCATAACGGTGTTGTTCTATCATAACGAACTACATATTTATCTTCTCTCTTTGTATAAATCTTCATCTGTTTCTCAATGTTCATTCCACCACACTCCTTCAAGATTTCTATATAGTTGCGAATGAAATATGTTGTCATTGGTAATCTTTCATTTAGCATGTAGTGGTCTTCAACAAGAAGTAAGTCAATAGTTCGAACAGTTTACATTCTTTTGGTATGTATCTCTTTATTTCATTATGTCTTGAGTCATTGAATAACCAATGGTAACATTAAATGCTATACCTGTTGCGTCAGAAATTTCTTGTACTTTACTTTGAGGAAAGTCTCTAACACGAATGACTTCTCTCATGTGGTCAATAGTTTCTTCATTTACTCCAGCCTGAATGCAAGCATAAACGAAACAATTGTCTTCTGTCATAAGTGTTGCAGTTCTTTTGTTCAGTTCATTGAAGATTTGGTAGCGTTCAAGATTTATAGGTAATGTGCAAAGATACTTCCAGAACTGACCGCTTCTCTTCTTATAAAACTTCTTTTCACCATTTCTTTCCAAAAGCTTTCTATAATGCTGTTTCCTGTTTGCTTAAGCTTCAAAATGGCTTTCTGGTCTTTTGTCAGTGTGCTTTCATCTCTATATGGTCTCTTTTTTGGTTTGCCTTTCTTTACATCTGACATCGTTAAGCCTTCATATTCTGTTAAATCATACATCTTTATTTCAGTAAGATTCTTTATGTTTGTCAAGAAGAAGTCATAGTGCATTTCAACAATACCTGCAGCATTTGCTTCTATCTCTGATATAAAGTTCTCCTTCAAGAGCTGATGTAGTAATGTTCCAATATTATTGAGGTTTAACGTAGAACATTCATACTTTCCACCAAGTTTATAACATACCATCCATCTTGTTGGAGTTTATTTTAATCTTCTCTAAGAGTCTCATGAAAACCTTACCGAAATGTTTGTGTAAGTAGTCTCTGTTTGGTTCATCTAAAGCTTCGATGTTAAAGTCAATGAGTCTATTGCCTGACTTCACATTTCTCTTCCTATTCTCTTCATCTTTCTTTAACCATCTCTCACCTTCTTTTGGTTTGTCGTCAATGGAACGAATGACATCGTTAGCTTTGCGAACTTGTTCTATAGCACTTTTAAACATCTCTCTTCTCTGTTGTTTCAGTGTGTCGTCTCTTTCGTGTTTCACCAACGTTTGCATTTGTTATGTCAAACATCTCTTGACGAACATCATGCGAAAGAGCTTTACGAGTATGACCAACGTTGCATTTGTTATGTCAAACATTTCTCTTCTTACTTCATGAGGTACTGAACGTCTATGATATAAGTCAATAGCAACGTCATTTAAAGGAAATGCTCTTGCATTTATGAACTCATGAATTCTATCATAAGTTATTCACCATTGTAGTCATTGAGGATGTCAGCGAGTGCTTTTTTGTTTGTCGCGTAATGTTTTGCAACATCTATGTTAGCTTCTGTAAGAAGTTGTTTTATTTCCGAGTGTTCTAACTTAGACAACTTCCGATACATCTTTAGTAGGAAATAAAAAAATTTCTTAGAAAAAAATTAGCTTAGATTTTTTAAGGCTAGTTTTAAAATATTTCGAACTTTTTATTATAATGAAACACATGCAAGATTGCAAGTTCTTTTCATACAATGCTCTCGCTAATGCCATCAAGAATGAGTTCAATAATGCTTCAAATGTTAATGTTATCTTTAACAAGAAGTTTGTGAAAGAATCTAAGTTCGGTCAGTATGTCAGACCATTAGCTATCGTCATTGACCGCAAACGTTATACTTCACAAGAGTTAGCAGTAGTTTTGAAACAAAAGAGTTTCTTCGTGAATGTCAAAGATACTCATTATACTGTCATAAAGAACTCTAACATTGACTTCTTCAGTATTGCTATGAATCTTTCCGAACAGAAAGAATATAAGAAAGGTGAAACAAATGTGAAATATTATCCTTCATCTCTGAAGACAATAACGAACAAAGATGTTATACAGAAATTCTTACCAAAGGTTGAAGAAGCTTCTATTGACATTGACGAAGGAAGTGAAATGGTTGAAGAAATTGACCCTGACGTCATTTAAGCAAAAATATATTTTTTTTCTTCATATCGACATTTTACAACACTTAAATGGTAAAACAAAATAAACTTGACGAAGTGAAGATTTGCACTTCGTCGATTATGATCGACATGGAGCGTTTTGTTTTTATCATGGTTTTCTCCACTATGGTTCTAACGTGGCACCCGACGAGATTTTTTTCATTCTTCCTCTTTGAAGTTATCGAAATATTCTGTTATTTTTTCTTTCAGTAATGTTAAGTCTTCTTTGAATGTAAGTATTGTACAACCTTTGATGTCATAGTGTGTTTGAGGAAGTGTGTCTTGAACTATCTGTTTAACATCTTCATTCGGTGTCATTGAAATCGGTAAGTTTTCACGATAGAACCAATTTCTGTCAGATTTGTAAATCTTAGCTAAGTCGTAAAAGCTTTTGTTGTTTCTTCTGACTAAATGCAACATAACCATGTCACTGTCTTCTTCTTTCTCCAACTCTTCAGTATATATCATATACTTATAACTCTTTTCCTTTCCTTTTGGTACTGAACGTGGTATTCTTTTCTGTATGCTTTTGTCTTTGGATTCAATGACTTCATCTTTTGCATGAAGTTTCTTTTCCATATCTTCACGTTCTGCTTTATATAGTTCATCTAACATCATGAAAATATAACAAGCATAACGAGGTGAAGCCCACATTGCTACAGCATTTACTAAAAGTCTATGAACATAATAACCTTTCAAACAAGGAGCCAAATTCTTGCGATTTTCGAATGGAATCTCTTCCCTCGGTTTTCCGAGGGAAGCAATCATATGAGGAAATTCTTCTAAAAGTTCTTTTGTCTGTTGGTTTTCAAACCAATGATATGCTTGCTTTGTAGAACGAAGAGCATTCATTATACTTTGCATTTGGTACATGTCATCTTTGACTGAACGAATGAGACGTAACTGTTTGTTATACTGTATGTATTCGTATTCTTCATTAATGGCTTCATGAACGATAGCAGTTGTTGTGTTCTCTGATGTTGACATATCTGTCTTTATATTCCGGATAAAAAAATATTTTATAAAAAACTAACGTTATTTTCTGACTTTCACAAAAGACCAAAAATAAACGCTTTACATGTATTTTTCAGCAACTTCGTCAAATAATTTTATAGCTTTATCTATCTCATCTACTTCAAACGTTTTTTACCTTTCATGGGAGCACCATACATTTTCTCAAACTTTTCAAGTAGTTCTGTTTCTGCAGCTCTCATATCATTAACGAACACAACCTTGACTCTATTGACTGTACTGTCATATCTTTGAGTTATATTATATGTTCTTCCTATCTTATATCTCTTTGTATTGAAGTCCTTCGGTTTCTGAACGATGTAAAGTAAGCCTTCACTGCAACGTTCCGTATCGAATGAACCATAAGTTATGAAGTTATATCCAACAACTGGGTCTAACCATAACAAAACTATTGGTATAAGACTTTTGTCAATGAGATATGCTGTAGTTCCATAGAATCTTACCGATATCATAAGCTCAGGATTTCTTGTCAAAATTTTCTGAGTTGAAGCATTTCTAACCCAATGGTTTGTTTTCTTTTCAGATGGAGATATAATGTCTGACAAAGAATATTTGTTGTATTTCTTTGAGTATCTTACGTTTAAATCACCTATTCTAACCACTTTGGTGTCATTGTCTATCTTTCTAACTGTTTCAAACTCAACCTTTAACATTACTGTTCTTACATACAAGATAAAAAAATATTTTATAAAAACTAACTTTATTTTTCTAACTAATGAAATTCATTATTTTTGTTGCTGAATTCAATAAAAATATATTTTAGGTGAAGAGGTGAGATTTCACCAGTTTTCTCACCTAATTTTTCACCCCAGTTATTTTATAAGCGTTTTACATGAATTGTACGATGTATATTTGAAATTCTAAACAATTTCGTAGCTTCTATTTCTTCTGTCAG